CCACCCATTCTTATCCCTCCCTTGTTTAATCTTAATAGATTGGGTTCATCAGGTACGTATGAAACTCTGCTTGTTGTCTATGCTACCTGTCGGGTATCTACATATTAAGGTAATTTTGGTTGCTACATTGGGTACCTACATGTTTGTTCAGAGTACATTTCATTGGCTAATCAACCTGTTCGATTCTGTTTTTCTCTCGTTTCAGTTTACAGTCCATCAATAGTGATGTCCCGAACGGTTCGCCGAACGGTTCGCCACGGATGGCGAACATATGTGCTGTTCGGTCCGCCCCCTATGTCATCATTGAGTAAACTTTGATCCTGTACCTCACAGTCAGCAGACACATTCCAGCCAATCAGCAGCAGACCCTCCCTCCCAGACCCTCCCACCTCCTGGACAGCATCCATTTTACATTCACTGTGAAGCTGCATTCTTAGTGAGCTGTCCAGGAGGTGGGAGGGTCTAGGAGGGAGGGTCTGCTGCTGATTGTCTGGAATGTGTCTGCTGACAGTGAGGTACAGGCAGGGCCGGCGCTACCTGTTAGGCGGACTAGGCAGCCGCCTAGGGCGCCCCTTGTAGAGAGCATCAGGCGGCTGCAGCTTTGCCCTGGCGGTGCGTCCATGATGGCGGACTGCACCGCCCGGGCGCAGCCTGAGGTGAGGGGCTGACAGGAGGGAAGCGCTCAGCACTCCCTCCTGTCACTCCCTCACTGTAGCGTGGCCGAGCCCTGAATCATGATGGTCCGCGGGTACAGGGAGCATCTGTCTCCTGTACCCGGCCGGACTAACAGGAAGTGCACACAGAGAACAAAAGCTACCTGTACCCGCGGATTATACTGGGCTCGGCCACGTTACAACTGAGGTAGGGAGGGCGGGGGAATATTGGGAGAGGAGGGGAACAGGGAATGTCAGGAGGGAGAGAAGAAATTGGCAGGGGAGGAGGGAGAAGAAATGGGAGGGAGGGAGAAGAAATGGGGAGGGAGAAAGAAGAAATTAGTAGGGAAGGGGGAGAAGAAGAAAATGGGGAGGGAGGGGAGAAGAAATGGGGAGGGTTGGAGAAGAAAGAAATTGTGGTGGGAGGGAGAAAGAAAGAAATTGGTAGGGGAGGAGGGAGAAAAGAAATGGAAGATTGGTAGGGGAGGGGGAGAAAAGAAAGAAATTGGTAGGGAAAGGGAAGAGAGGGTGGGAGGGGAAAAACCGGGAGAAGAAGAAATTGGGGGGAGAAAGAAGAAATGGTAGGTGGGGAGAAGAAGAAATTGGTAGGGGAGGGGGAGAAGAAGAAAATGGGAGGTGGTAGGGGAGGGGGGAGAAGAAGAAATTGGAGGGGGGAGAAGAAGAAATTGGTAGGGGAGGGGGGAGAAGAAGAAATTGGTGGGGGGAGAAGAAATTGACGGGGGTGAGAGTGACAGGGGAGGGGCAAAGAGAGTGGGAAGGGGGAGGGGAGAAGAGAGTGACAAGGGAGAGGGGGGAGAAGAGAGTGACAAGGGACGGAGAGGGGGGAGAAGAGAGTGACATCCATCACACACACATGCAATGCACCCCTTACACACAGAAAAACACCCAATGCATTACACACACAGACACACACACACACAAACAATTCAACCCTTACACACAATGCATCCCTTACACACACAGAAACACACAATGCATTCCTTACACACAATCAATGCACCCCTTACACACGCACACACTGCATCCTGTACATACACAGAAACACACCTTGCAGCCCTTACACATACAAACACAGATTCACACAATGCATTCCTTACACGCATATCAGGACATCCCCTACACACTCCACCCCCTGTGAACAAACTCATTGGTGGAACATGAAGGTGGACCCTGGGACACACAGAAACACACAATGCATTCCTTACACACAATCAATACACCCCTTACACACGCACACACTGCATCCTGTACATACACAGAAACACACCTTGCAGCCCTTACACATACAAACACAGATTCACACAATGCATTCCTTACACACATATCAGGACATCCCCTACACACTCCACCCCTGTGAACAAACTCATTGGTGGAACATGAAGGTGGACCCTGGGACCCAGACCTTGAGCTGTGTAAAGGGCCCCCAAAAAATGGAGCTGCTTCCGTTCTCCCAGAACATTGATTTTTGTGACCACAGTTACAAACAGCCTCCAGAGAGCCTGTTCTACACCAGACCAGTGGAGCCAGACTGCAGCTAGAGCCCATCATCATCCTCATCTGGTTGTAAGTAGGCAATCTAGTATATTATTCGTGGCACTAATCTCTAATTTACCTCACATTAAAGAAACACTATAGTCCCCAGAACCACTGCAGCTTAATGTAGTTGTTCTGGTGTCTATAGCCTGTCCCTGCATGCCTTATAATGTAAACACGGCGGCACTGCAGCACTGGCGTTAGTTAACATGGCAGATCATATGGGTGGAGCATTGTGATGTCACATGGGGGGGGGCGGCAAACTTTACTTTTGCCTAGGGCGGCAAAAATCCTTGTACCGGCCCTGGGTACAAGGTCAAAGTTTACTCAATGATGACGAATAGGGGGCGGACCAAACAGCGCATATGTTCGCCATCTGTGGCGAACCGTTCGGGACATCACTATCTATCAACGCTATCTGGTGTGACAGTTCTTCTCGGAGGGTGGACATTGTTGTATTCATCGTATCTAGGACTTCGTTTCATCCCCATTATGTTTTTCTGCTTTTTGTTCTGTCTTGTCGCAGCTTGAAAGAGGAAATGATGCATGGGGAGGAGAGTTTTATAGTACCTAACTTTTTTCTGATTGGTTGGTTTTTTTTGTGCTGCTGTGGAGTTCTAGCAAAGAGAGACTAAAGCAAATACTCACCTCCTGTCATTAATAAAATGAAGATTATAGGTACACTAAAGCTAGCATAATCTTCAATTTGAAAGATCGAGTAGACTGGCTGTCAATATGTCAGTCTGCTTTCAGGATCTTGAGCAAGCAGTGAGAGGGGCATCAGGAATGCATACAACTCATATTGCACCTGCCAGACCACCTAGGAGACTACAGTTACTTCCCTTGAGGTTGCAGCAAGACCATTCTGTATTTGTCACATTTAAAGGGATAATGCACATCAAATCATAAATACAAATCACTGTTTAGTAGATATACTCCCATTAAAAACAGGCATGCATTTAATTATGCATGCGAGAGAGCCTGACCAAGTCAGGGAGGAGCCGGATCCAACTCATGCCTCTGGCACCAAACCACCGTACCTCAGCAGTCGAAGGCGTGAAACCGAGAAGCTCCTCCCTGGCCAGACCGCCTCTCTCTGCCGTGCCCAATGTATGTAGGAGTGCCCAAACAACCAGACCCTGGGGGGGACCGAACCTGAGGAGGAAAACAAAAAAAACATTTAGCTCAGGAGACCGGCAGGACGCACATAAGAAACAAACCTTCTGGATTCCCACCTCCCTATCCTCTGCACCTCTTGATCCGGCATACCCAGCCGAGAAGCCTCCATCGCAGCGCCAATTCGCAAGGAGTGCCCACCAAACTCTGCACCCTCCAAGGCCAATGCAGCCAACCCTAAATGAAAAACCCTGACAAACTGAAAATGGGAGAGGAAACTCCCATCCTCATGCACTAGCAGCGGGCCAGACAGCGCAGGGCGAACCTTGCAAAAACACAGAAAAGACAGGACCGCCGCCAGCTGAACCCACTTACCCTTCCCAAACACGTCAGTCTTAGTGCGGCAAATCTTAAAAGAAAACCCGGTCCAGAGAAAAGGATCCCCCCAACGGTCGATCTGCTCGGACACACCAACTCCCCAGTCCTCATGGCCCCAAAGAAAGTGAATGAAAAGGCAAGGCAAAACAGCCGCACCTCAAAGTCCGAGAAACACACATGTGGAAGCACTTGGCATAATTGCGCAAGGAACCCACCTGACACTGGCCTCCTTGAATCCACAGTAACATGATCCCTGCGCAGCCCCTTAACTGCCTGCCTCACTAGAAACTCTATGGTCACATCCACCCAGCCCTGCAATTTAAACAGAAAACTCAGCCCAGACAGGCGTGAGGACACCGCCGAAGGTGACATGCCCGTAGAAACCCAAGTGTCCAAAAGCCACAACCGACCCTATAATCGAGCGGGCGTATCTTGAAAGACCCCTACCTTGGACTCTAGACACTGACCCGCGAACCAGGTCCATCAGCCTGCCGAACCCAGGGACCACAGCTTCACCGGACACGGGAAACCCTCCTCGTCCCCGTGAGGCACAGCCGCTCCGAACTCCACCCACTGTGAACAAGAGCATCCGCAATCACATTGTGAACCCCTGGAACATGCAGCACCCTACACGATGCATTAAGGCACAGGCACTGTAGCACTAAGCGCTGGAGCAAACGTATCACCGGCGGAGAAGACGCAGAGAGCTGGTTAATCGCCTGCATGACCCCCAGGTTGTCACAATGAAAAACAACCTGCTGGTCCCGCAAGTCCAAACCCTATAACTCCAATGCCACCACTGTGGGGAAAAGCTCAAGGAAGGCAAGATTCCTAGTCAGGCCAGAGGCGCACCATGCCTCCGGCCAAGTGTCAGCACATGAGCGCGACCCTAATGTTGCCCCAAAGCCGACAGAACCTGCAGCGTCCGTATAGAGGTGAAGATCCGATCCGGACACCTCTGGCACCTGCCATTACGACCTCCCATTATACTCAGCCAGGAAAGTATCCCAGACGTGCAGGTCGTCCTGCGACTGCTGCGTGAGCAAAATAAAATGCAGAGGCCTCACCATTCCAGCGGTCCAGGCCGCCAGGCGCCTGCTGAAAACCTGCCCCATGGGCATGATACGACATGTGAAGTTCAACATACCCAACAGAGATTGCAGCTGGCACAGTTGTATCTTCTGCAAGCCCCGGGCCACCGCCATGTCCTGGTGCAGAACGTCCACTTTATCCTGAGGCAAAATCCATGGCCACCAAATCTATCTTGATGCCCAAGAAGCTAAGGCACGTCACTGGTCCCACAGTCTTATCATGCGCTAGGGGGACCCCGAAGTGCCCAAATACCCTTTCCACTGTGTTGAGCAAGATCCTACAAGCCTGAGAATGCGCTGGGCCTACACACAGAAAGTCATCTCGATCCCCGACTCCTGCCGCACCACCCACTCCAGGAAAGTGCTGAAGCATTCAAAGTAAAAACAGGATATGGAACAACCCATCGGAAGGCACATATTCACGTAATACTGGCTATCAAAACTACAACCGAGGAGGTGATGGCAATCTGGGTGCACGGGCAATAAGCGAAACGCTGATTCAACGTCCGCTTTTGCCAGCAATGCTCCAGGGTCAGGACCACTTGAGGAAACACAGATTTCAAGTTCCGAAGGGAATCCAGAACCCATGTACAAACCCCTCCAGAAGCAACCCCGCTGCCCGACGGTTCCTATAACCGGCGAGCCAGGGGCGTATCTTGTCCACGACCACCGGCTTCGTCGCCCTTAGACTCCAGGTCCCCTTTGTCCCCTGACTTACCCCGCTTAAAACAGCGCAAGGCCGAATGGGCACCCCTGCAATGGGAGCATTCATGCTTAAAACGACACCCCACTTGCATTGACTGTCATTGATCTTCCAACAACAGCCTGGTCGTCGTTGTAAGGCCGATGGGGCAGAGCAAACCCCTCCCACCCCAAGAAAAGAAGGTGTGCCACCAGGCAAGTCATGATGGAGAGCCACATACCAATGTCCATCTGATCCCAAGAGAAAGAGGGGCAGACCGCCAGCCACTGCCAAAATTGTTCGTCATCGCGCCACCAACCCAGGCCACCATAAGACTGACAAGCATTCCAAATGGTGTCCTGATAGCAAAATAGCGCGAGCAATGCCGGGGAGCCTTATTCCCAATCACGCTCACGAAGATGGAGAACGCCCGAACCCAGTTCCTATAGCGAAACGTCTCCTTATGCGTGTCCGACTCCTTGCCATCCTTGTCTCCCAGAGGAGGGACGTCCTCCAAGGGTAACAGGGAAAATATCTCTACAAATTCCCCTTTCCAGATTGTTTCGCTAATTTTGGGCTTCAGATGCAAGCCCAAGGGGCCTGACCAGCACATATATGCCACCCCTTTCACCACGTCAGCGACTCCCACCGTACCCTCTAGAACCCCTTGGTCGTTCCCGCCCCCCATGACCGTGCAGGGCACTGGAGGTGCAGGCACCGCCTAGGAAGAAGCCAACTCACCACTAACTGCTGTGCCGAACCCGCCATGGGAACAGGAGGGGACCACACCAAACGCAGCTGACCATCCAACCCCTGGGACTCATGCGTCAGCGCACCCTACTGCCACTGGGAAAGTAGATGACATAAACCCGCCTAGTGCGGACACCCAGCCAGCTCAGGAAAAGGGGACTCACCTGACGGCACCCCGGCACCAATGGGACTCACCTGATGGCACCAGTAGAAATCTCGTAATTGGATTCCAGGGCTTGCACTGCAGTTTCCATGTTCACAGAAGCTTACAGACACCACCTGCTGGACAGATCCGGCAACTGCACCCAAAGCCTGAGGAAGCAGTGGAAAGACGGTGAGCCTACGCCCCAGACCAGGAGGCTGCCAAGATGGGTAAGGATAGGGGGGAGTAGGGGGTCCCAGGGACAGGGCAGGCCAGGCCAGGTTAGCTGGGCAGGAGAAGGTGAGGAAAGAGCAGGGGGGTCAGCATTTAGGAGGGTGGCACAAAATACAGGGGGAGCAGATGGAAATAGACCGGGAGAGGCCCCAGCCACAGAGACCCCAGAAAGAGATAGATCCAAAATGGAGGGGGGAGGGGGAACAGCAAGAGGAAGGGGAGAAGCCACCCGGCCCATGGACCCCCCTGGGGGAGGAAGGGGGAGAGGTGAAGAAAGGGACATGTCAGCAGGGGAGCACAGAGGCCCAGAAGCAGGGGAAGATACCCCCCCCACCCGACAGCAGTGAGAGAGAGCCACCCCGCGTGCCCTGCAGGGGTCTACTCAACACTGCCGGCCATGAGGGAGGGCCCCCGGGCTGGTCTATCACCGAGATGACAGCCTGCCACTGGACCCAGGGAGAGAGCGGCACGCCTGTGATGCCACTGCCCAGGCTCGTCGGCCTGTTGTTGCCTCGGGCCTGGGCTGCGACTCCTATACCGGGCCTGAGGAGATGAGCTGGGGCTCAGCCGAGCTGGAAGGCAGGTGTGCCAACCTGCACTAGCACGGCTACCCATGGAGGGTGCCGCGGGGGGATCAGAGGGAGTCATACAACAGTGAGGGGAGACCGTACCGCCATACGGCTGGGGCTGGAGTAGACGAGCAAACTGCTCGCTGAGCTGCCGGCCACCGTCCACTGCTGCATCAGCCCTGAGGGCTGACAGGATGGATTCAATATCCATAGCCACAGGCCGAAATCACCAACAGGCCCAGAAACAGGAGGATTCCAAAGAAACTGTTGCTGGCCCGGCTCCTAAGTGGCACTGAGGTCAGTCTAATCTGTCACCACCCAGTTCTTCACATACCACACTCCTACACGTAACAAACAGCCAATCATGCTTCATCCATTCCCACACTCATACATGTGCCCTTGCCTGCTAAGCTGCTCACTCTTCCTGAGGCCTTGATGTTTAGAGCACTAATAGGCTACTTTCATGACTGAGAGGAGTCTATAGCGGTGATATGTAAAAATTGCTTCCACTGTAACACAGCCTAATAGGTATGTCAATCCAGAAGTTATCAATTAGTTATGGGCTGCCAGTGTGTCAATTTTACCTCTATTGTGATTGCAGTGTGCACATGCTGCACACACAACATTAAAGGCTGCCCTGATCTGCAGATCTAAAACACAACACATTCTCATTAATATGCTATATTTTTTGTTTGCTGAAATCTGTTGCATTAAAAAAACAATTTGCATTAAAAAAACAATTAAAATTGAACCGGCACCATGCTGTATATGTATATGTATGTATATACTACAAACATTTATACAAATGTAAGAAATGCTGTTTCTTTTCATCTAGGTAACTCCTTATTTTAAAATGAACGGAAAGGGTCATTGGCAATTGACCATCCCCTTACCCCTTCCAACCTGACAAGAACAACGTTTTCCCACGAATCCTGTCTGTAGCATTGGTGACCTTTTAGCCTGGAAAACCACAATGCATCAGTTTCTCCCAAATGCATCTGCAGGTAAAGTAGGCAACGTACCAGGATGGTCAAAACCACTACAATTAAAGGCATTTTAAAATAAGGGAGCAGCAACAGTAGTAATTTAGTTTAAATTGTTTTAATTGAAATCAACTTTAAAGGGAGAGACTAATTTGATCTTAGCTAGTGGATGATGATGCCTCATGTATAAATCTGTAGCGCAAGGTAAACCAAGTTGGGAAGATTGAACTTGAGGAAGGCTATTTGCTCCATTAGTTGAAGGGATATTTGTGAACAGGGGGAGACAGAAAGCAGACCCACAATCTTCTTCTCATTCTAGTAGCTCAGAAGCTCCTCAGTAGGAGGCAAAATAGGTTCAGGCAGGTAACCTCTGACCAAGTTTCCTCCAAGTTACCAAAAGCATTAATTCAAAACATAATCCACTTTACGGTCTTGCAGTTATTCTGCTGGCATTGCTGCTGGCTATAGTAGATAATGGCAACATTGTAGGTTCAATACGCACATCTCCCTCAACATCTCTATCGCTGCAAATCATGGTCCGTGGTAATAAGTGTGTTGCTCCAGTAAGTCGCACTGTTGTATCGGAGTGCCACTTTCCTATTAATGCTATGGTTACACTAAGAACCTAGCATCAGTTCAGGTCAATTAGCAACTTTACTCAGACAAGTATTGAGTTGATCTTTCAGCTTCCTAAAAAATGATGCTACATTGATGTGGAATATGTCACCAGGAACAACTATAATGTTTTGCAGGAAAGTATTCATTATGTTAATAAAGAGGGTGAACAAGGGGATGACCTGTCCCAAACTGGCATTCCTTTGGCTAAAATTGCATGTCATGTCCCTAAATGGAATAAAAATGGATCCTCATGTCCCAGTCCAAGAGTGAATTAGAAGTCATGTCCATGGGATTATGCGGACAGGGTGTCTGTCTGTCTCTGTTGTCTAGAAGCAGTAGGCTCAACATCCTCCCCTGCTGTGCCTAAGGCCGGTAGTATTGAGGGAGGTACCAGTGGTGGTTGCACATAATCAAATACAGTACCAATGGACCTGATGCCTGCCCTAGTACCTAATCTTTTTGTCTTCCTTCATTAATGTCTTTACATATGTTTATTCAGACCCACTTTAATAAAATTACCCTTACCACCACTACTCACATCCTTGCCGCTCTTCAGTCTGTCAAAATAATGCTAAACTTTGCTTCAGCACAATCTACTAGCCTCAACCCTTGGCATTGTGGCTGATGAAGATGCATGTGGATTTGCGTATTTGGAAGCTGCGTCAACACTAGTTTCAGGCTGACTAATGCTAATGGATGGGAGGCAGTTCGCAATAATCTCAATGGGTGAGCTACGTTCAGATATCAGCATAGAAACATCCACCTGCCTCCTAGGTGGTGAATAAGACTTGACAAACATGTAATCCTAATATCCAGAGGCTTAATATTATGAATATTGGTGATGGCGGAGGCAGCAATGGAGGAGTTGTCAGCAGTCTTCATGGCCAAAATAGAGGTGTTAAGACTGGCCGTGGCTCTACTGCTAATGGTGAATTTGGAAATATGGCCCTTAACCTACCATTCCTCAATTTCTTCTTGAGATTAGGACAGAATAATAAATATGGTGAGTTTCTTTTTTTGTTGTCAATCTTTCTTTTATTGAAACAAGGGTGCAGTACTGTACAGAAGAGAAAAGAGGAGTTATACTAAATCCACAGTGACCCAATAAACATTTATTATATATTCTTCTTAATTAACCGTCTCATTTTTTTTTTTTTTTGTAGTTAAACAAAAAGCTTACAATATAAATAGGTCTAAGCGTGAAATAAGATATTTCAAGTGGTCATGAGATATATCCTAGACATGCTATGATATGATCTAACAAGAGAAATGTTTGGTTGGGAAAGCAATGTTGAATAATGGGAACCCCTGATATGGCCAAACAAGCAGCCCAAGTTAATTAGACTCTGTTCAGCCAAGTATAGCAAGTATTGTAAAGTCACCAGCGTGAGCGGCAAGACAGGAAGGAGCGAACTGGACCATCGAAGGCCAGCATCTTCAAAGGTACATTGCAGATCAGAACTTTACTCCAGAACTCAGCCTGCATAACACCTCCATGGATTTGGGTGCTCTCAGGGTACCAATTCCTTCCACTGTCTGGGGTAGACAAGAGATTCATACTGTGAGTGTGTTTTGGGGCAAATAATCTTCCAATCATTTGATCGATGCAGAAATGCAGTGCCACAGGGGCTCTCGGTCCAGGTGGGTGGACTGCAAGGTAAAGAGGTGCTTGTATGGTAGTGTCCTGGGGAGGTCCCTTCTCTCTCAACATCATGCATCTCTCTGCATGTTCTTGCAGCTCATGCAGGGTGGTCTGAGCTCACGACTGTATCCGACCAGAAGCTTTTGAATATATAAGACTATATAAGACTATTTTGATGAGCACTTATCCTGCTCATCAAGTGGAAAGGACAAAAAAACAGTCATAGCAAAATTCCCAGATTTTACTATTAACATGACGTAAAGTCATGATTTTATTAAAGACACGGAGGCGAGTATTATGCATAACTCTTTCTTTATTTCCTCAGCAGCAAAGATAGAGGAATATAAATATTGTCAAAAATGAAAGAAAAAACTGTATAGATACACAGGCAACCAATCACATAACAGAGGAAGTGACTATAAAAGGCCTGTGTCTCCCACAATCCCCCTCTTTCTTGCGGAAACCGAAGACCAGGTAAGAAGAACGAAATCCAACTTGTCCATAACAGGAAGAAGGCAACGAATCGAAAACTTCAAGCTAAAAGAGAGAGAGAAATATGGTAATACCCAGACTCCAAACTGTAGACTTACCAAAAACAAACTGTTGGTTACTCAACGACAGATAATATAGGGATCAAAGCAAATATTAGCAGTTCCATGATAAACCGGAATCTGAAAAACATAAAAGAAATAATTAGTTGATGTGATATAACAAGTGAGTCACATATCCAGAGCGACATCAGAAAAACATACCGGCATGAAAAAACGTACCTGAAGAGCTCAAGAGCATCTCATTCCTATACCCTCACGGGAGGGTGGGAGGGAATAATACTCGCCTCCGTGTCTTTAATAAAATCATGACTTTACGTCATGTTAATAGTAAAATCTGGGAATTTTATTAAAGACACGGAGGCTCATATTATGCAAGTTTAAAGCTGTGCGATCACCTGAGATGCGATATGCTCAATAGGTTTGAAATAGAAGTCACGGAAGGTCGATTCTCTAGACCAGTCCGCAGCCCGCATGATGTCCTCTAGTCGACAGCCGACCGTGGATGCCTTTGAAGCCATAGCACCCCGAACAGAGTGAGGCGTAAAGACCGAAGTGTCTATACCCGCTGAGGATAAAAGCCAGCGTACCCATCGTGCCAGAGTCGGAGACGAAACAGGCCTATGAGGTGTCCTAAAAGACACGAATAGAGGATGCAAGTCCAAGGAACGAAAAGATCGAGTAGCATCCAGATAAGTCCTCAGGCATTCAACCGGACACAATGCTGGAGAGCCCGGGAACCTAGGATACGTGAACGACTTGGATGCCGACTTTGTCCTCCTGGATATGTTGAAAGTAACACCCTCCGGGGTGAATACAATGGCGTCCCAGTCAAAGGCCCTAACATCAGACACCCTCTTACACGAAACCAAACAGAGTAGCATCACTAGTTTGGAGGATAATTGTTTGAGACTCAGTTCGTGGTTAGGATACCAAGATGAGAGGAATCATAACATGACGTTGACGTCCCAGAAGGCAGAGAAACGAGGTCTAGGAGGGCGAGCGAGGCGGATGCCTTTGAGAAGGCGACACACAAAAGGATGTCTGCCGACTGGTGAGCCATCCAAACCACTATGCCCGGCCGAAATCGCCGAGCGGTAGAGGTTGACAGTGCGGTACGCCTTGCCCGTCTCAAACAGTGTCGTGAGAAACTCTAGGATCAGATGGAGAGGGGCAGATACGGGATCCACAGACCGTTCCGTGCACCAATCAGACCACGAATTCCATGAAGCACGGTAGGCTGATCTCGTACCGGGGGCCCAGGCGTTATCGAGGAGCAGGAGAGTTGATCGCGGAACATTTGGGACAGCCCAGGTTCCCCTGAAAGGAGCCACGCCACAAGAGGCAATTGTCGTCGAAGCACCAGATCGTGAGAGTTCCTGTCCGGATCCAGAAGGAGGTCCTGGAAGCACGGGATCAACCGGGGGTAGTCTATTGACAACTCCAACAGACGTGGGAACCATGGTCTGGATCTCCACAGAGGGGTGATCAAAGCCAGGCGGCACTCGTGGCGAGTCAACTTCGATATCGTGCGGGCGATCATGTTGAACGGGGGAAAGGCATAAAGGCAGCCCGGTGGCCATTCCTGGAGAAAGGCGTCCGTCGCGACCGCTGCCGGGTCTGGCCTCCAGCTGTAAAATTCCGGTAGTTGAGTGTTCAGACGTGACGCGAACAGATCCATCCTGAACCGCTCCCATAGTCTGTCCAGGCCTTGGAATACCGAAACGTGCAAGTGCCAGTCTCCCGAGTCTCTCAAATGTCTGGAATTCCAATCCGTGTTCGAATTGTCCAGCCCCGGAATGTGTTCCGCTGTCACGGACACATTGTTGGAAAGGCAAAATTGCCAAAACACTTTCGCTAGCAGGGCCAACATCCTGGACTTGGTGCCCCCAAGGTGGTTTATATAGCGTACGGCCGACACGTTGTCCATCTTGAGAAGAACGCAGCAGTTCGCCCGTCCTGGGGTAAGGCTGCGAATCGCGAATGCCCCTGCCAGGAGCTTGAGGCAATTGATGTGCAGGGATCTCTCCGTCTCGGACCATCTGCCTCCTGTGGAAACGTTGCCACAACGAGCCCCCCAGCCGTGTAAGCTGGCATCCGACTCTATCACCACGTCCGGGATGGAACCGAAGATGGCCCTCCCGTTCCAGGCTTCCATGTGGGCTAACCACCATACCAGTTCGTCTCTGGACTCCACGTCTAGCCGTACCCGGGATTCGTAGGAATGACCCGATCGGAGGTGAGAACCCTTGAGCCTTTGGAGAGCACGGTAATGGAGTGGGCCCGGGAATATCGCCTGAATGGAGGCCGCAAGGAGGCCGATAATGCGTGCCAATTGCCTGATGGACAGATCCTGTACATGCAGGGCCCTTCGAAGCTCCTTTCGGATGGCTCTGATCTTTGAATCCGGCAGGTATAGGAATTGGCGGATGGAATCCACCTGGAAACCTAGGAACTCCATCGACTGTGACGGGTCCAGGATCGATTTGTCCCAGTTGATCAAGAAACCCAGGTTTTGAAGTAGATCGATCGTCCATCCCAAATGTATGAGAAGATGGTCTCTGGACTGGGACATGATTAAGATGTCGTCCAGGTAAATGATCAAACGCACCCCACGGGTACGGAGGAACTCCATTGCAGGCTTCATGATCTTGGTGAAGCACCATGGCGCTGAGGAAAGGCCGAAAGGCAGGCAGGTAAAGCGCCAGCGTCTCCCATGCCAGGTGAAGTGTAGGTAATCCCTGTACTCCATCGCTATCGGGACCGTGAAATACGCGTCCTTCAGATCCAACTTGGCCAGCCAGTCCGACCGTCGGAGGAGGTCTCTGAGGCAGTGTATACCCTCCATCTGAAAATGTTGGTACCGGAGGAATGCGTTGAGAGGACGGAGATTTATCACCGGGCGGACTCCGCCCCCTTTCTTGGGGACCAGGAAGAGATTGCTCGTAAAGCCCTGAGCGGCGAACGGCAACTCTTCTATAGCGCCTTTCAACAGCATCTCCTCGACTTCCGCTGAGATCATTGCGTCTTGGTCTAGCGGGAGAGACAATTCCCTGGGGACATGAAATTGGACAGGCAGAGAAACAAACTCCAGGCGATAGCCCTTCACACACTGTAGAACCCAAGTGTCTGAAGTAATACTTGCCCACTCTTGGTGGAACAGAGCCAGCCTGCCCGCTACCCGCACCCGAGTAATAGGGGAAGAAGGGGTACTTACCATAAGGGCGTCTTCCCGAAGCGGCACCGCGGGGGTATCTGGAGCCCCAAGGCCTCCCTCTGGCTGGGAAGAAAGGAGGCGTCCTCGGATCCTGGAATCCCCGGGACGGAAAGAAGGAACCTCTTTGGGCACGTGAGGAGCCTCGGAAACCACGGCCGGGTGGACGGTTCCTGCTACACCCGGCCCCTCCGAAAACCTTGGGTGCGAACATGCGCTTCATGTTTGCCTGCGCCTTGTCAATGGCCGTAAAGGTCTTAACATACGACCCCAAGTCCTTAACGAAGGAAGCACCGAACAACATCCCCTCCTCGGAAGGGCCAGGTTCCGCCACAGTCATGGCAGCCAATTTCGGGTCAAGCTTGAGGAGTATTGCCTTACGCCTCTCTGAAGACATGGCAGTGTTCGCATTCCCCAAAAGACAGATAGCCCTCTGGACCCATCCTATGGCAACATCAACATCCAGCATGGAAGTGCCTGCCCAAGCGCCATCCAGGAGCTCGTATAATTTGGATAAAGGGCCCAGGGTGTCCACCCCTTGAGCGAATAGTCCAACCCCTTCTTGGGCTTCCAGCCTGACTTGTTCATGAATTGAGCAATCTGGGGGTCGATGTCAGGGGTTTTGCAGGCTGCACCGGGCAGAGAGGGTCTGGGGCATTCTGCCCGCAACTTATTGCGACCCTCCTTGGAAAGGGGGGTGTGCATGCGCCATGCCACATATTGAGCAATATGGTCCGGGGGAACCCACTCTGCGGACCTAGGGTGACGAAGATCGTCGGGGTCGAATAAGGGGTTGCCCTGAGGGTCAACCAGTGCCTTGGTATCCCCAGTGGGGTTTATCAATTGACTACGGGCAGCGGCGGGTGTCCCAGAAGGGGTCACACCCGTAAGTGGTAAGTCCTCACCCGACTCACCCTCATCAAAGGAGTCATACTCCAGAACGTCTGACTCATCCTCCACACTCCGGTCGGAATCCGACCCATCATCCAGGGCTTTAGCCCGTTTCCACAACCTAGCCCGGCCAGGGGCTCTTTTGCGCGTGGGAGGCGCGCTGTCTGTGACCGCCTCTAGCGTGTCAATCATGGCAGGTAGAACCTGCATCGAGGAGTGGGAGTCGACGTGTTTAGATTTCTCCTTAGCCTTACGGGCCCCCGGCACAGTCGGGGTAGGAGAGGGTAGTCCCATGCCCAGGAGGGCGGAAGTCACCATGGAAGGCAGCAGGAGAGAATGCAGGGATTGGGAAAAGGAGGAGGATACAGCACCCATGGCTGAAGCAAAAGCCTTCTGCAAGGAAGAGGCCATAGTGGCATCCAGCAGGTCTTGGAACTCCTGGGAAGCAGTAGCCCCCACAGGATTATCTGGGTTGAAATCAGTGGTGAGGCCCTCAGGCCCATCCTCCCTCTCCTGCATAGTGGCAGTAATGTACAAGGGGAAGAACCCAACAGAAATAGCCTATAAAGTAAAACAGTTGATAAAGGGTTGATTAACCCACAGAGAGAAACAATATATATAAGAAAACCTGAGCACTGGTGCACCCCAGGGACCCAGGAGCAAGGCAGAGCGCACAGCAGCAGAAAGGAGCGACCGGGAGGAAGGACCGCCCACAAGATGGCCACCGCACGTGTAGAGAGCGCTCGCGGCCTGCAACCCGGCGGGGGAAGCGGCGCGCGCCCCTCCCCGCGCGGGCAGCCCGCGAGCGAGCCGGGAAAAAACGCTGTCAGCTCCGGCAGTATCAGAGAGAGCCGCGGCTGAAAGCAGACCTGGGACTGAAGCACCCGCCGGCCGACAGAGCGGTCGCGGCGGGCGGGAGGGGGGGGGAGGCACCAGCGCAGGGGACAGGACAGGAGCTGCACCAAGCAGGCAGCTTACAGAAGGAAAACAGAGTAGGATATCACACAATCAGAAAAGAAGTGTGAATAAACACAGATTATGCAAAAAACCATACAACTATAATAAAAGAGCTATATCAGTACAGCATAACACCATGTAAATACAAAGTACAGCAAATAAAATACAATGGATCAAGCAAGGTACTTAGCTGTCTGAGGAAGCAGCAAAGAAAGAGGGGGATTGTGGGAGACACAGGCCTTTTATAGTCACTTCCTCTGTTATGTGATTGGTTGCCTGTGTATCTATACAGTTTTTTCTTTCATTTTTGACAATATTTATATTCCTCTATCTTTGCTGCTGAGGAAATAAAGAAAGAGTTATGCATAATATGAGCCTCCGTGTATTTAATAAAATTAAAAATTATTAACTGTATATTGGTAAGAATGTCTCACACCAGGATGAATGACAAAATGCCTGCCAAATGATAACTGATTATGTCCCACTTAAATATTTCTCTACTGTGCCTGGCAGTACTTGTTGCCAGACACAGCACAAAGCTAATGCTAGTCTCATACTGTAGCCCCATGTAACAAAAGCACAGCTTAGTGGAAAGGGGCCTTGACAGGGGTTAGGAGGCGGGCATAGGAGGAAGCTAATGGGACTGGTTAATGGAGGGTTAAGGGGCTGGGCTATATAAATAGGCAGACATCTTAGAATAATCACTTTTAACTTGCCTACCTGGCTGAGTTTGTGTGCACCTCGTGTGTCCACTCATTTGGCCCGGTAGGTTTTCTCTTTTCTCTCCTCTGCAGGATGGATGTTGTGGAGAAGATGCTGGAGGGCCTCAGGACTTACAAGGGCTCCATGGAGCCTATTCTACAGTGCCTAAATGATACATTCAAAAGCTTCTGGTCGGATACAGTCGTGAGCTCAGACTATCCTGCATGAGCTGCAAGAACATGCAAAGTGACTCTGCGGCAACTACAATCACTCCTGGGCAAACTTAACTTTGCCTGCAGGCTGATCCCAATGAGGCGGATCTTTAGCCGAAGCCTGTCTGCGGCAACGGTGGGGATGCAGTCCCAACATCATTTCAACAGGGTGTCGGTGCTTATGCGGGCCAATCTGGAGGTGTGGGATAAGTTTTTGCGTGACTTTAATGGAACAGTGTTCTTTCGCAAGACGGGGATATCGGTAGAGGAGCACAAGCTCTTCACAGATGCTTCGGGCAGTGTGGGCTTTGGGGCTTATTTTGGTGGCTGCTGTTGCGTGGAACGGTGGCTGGCGGAGTGGGGCGAGAGCTCCTTTATCCGGAACCTGGCATTCTTGGAGTTGTTCCCCTTAGTCGTGGCACTGGCGCTATGGGGCGATATGCTGCGGAACCATAAGGTAGTTTTCTTTTCAGACAACATAGCGGTGGTGCACATGGTTAACAATCTGTCAGCGGCTTCGAAGCCAGTGGTACAGATGTTGCGGTGCTTTGTTTTGCTTTGCTTGTCGCTCAACGTGGTTTTCCGTGCGAGGCAGGTGCCAGGGTACGTGAATGTCATAGCTGACGCTTTGTCTCATTTGCAGTGGTCCTGGTTTCGGATGGTGGCGCCAGGAGCACTGGAGTTAGGGCAGGCATGCCCGGACGAGATGTGGCAACTCGGAGTGTCCTGCTTGGGGGATACGTGAGAGCCTCTGTGGCACCTGGCACTTGGGCTGCATACAGTAATGTCTGGATGGCATGGGAAGGCTCGTGGGCTGGGTTCGATCAGGCACTGGTAGGGGAGTCGCGACTAGACGCGTTACTGTGGTTCACATTTTGAGTGCTTGCAAGGAATCCGTCACTGGCGGTGGTGAATAGGAACATGGCAGCCCTAGCGTTTTGGTTTAAGTTGCATGGGTGGGACAACCTCACAAAGAATTTCGTGATTCACCAGGCGCTTAAGGGGTACTGAAAGGGTCGCCAGGTGCCCAATGCTCGTAGGACGGTGTCTGTGAAGGTGCTGGGTGGTCTTCTGGGGACGCTGCCAGAGGTATGTTGGGAAAAGTTTGAGGGGCTGCTGTTTTGGGCAGCGTTTCTCCTGGCCTTCTTCAGGGCATCAGGATTGGTGAATTGGTAAGTACTAATAAGGCAGCTGGTGGGGGGTATTCAGGTTGCGCATCCAGGAAGGTAACGGTTGGGGTGCACCTGGCTAGGTCTAATACTGATGTCAGGGGCAGAGGTAGGGATGTAATGCTAGGTGCCCTGCCGGACTCAGCGTAATGTCCAGTGTCCGCGGTGTCGCAATACATGGCTCGGAGGCCCGTGGTTGGGGGGTCGTTATTGGTACATGCGGACGGCTCTTCCCTCTCTCGCTTTCAGTTTGCCAAGGTTTTTTTGGTTGGGGTTGGCTAAGTTAGGGCTACAACAGGGCTGCTTCGGGACTCATTCTTTCTGAATCAGTGCAGCTACTGAAGCCATGTGTTTGGGCCTGGGGGAGGCTGTGGTAAAGCGGATTGGGAGATGGGAATCAGTCAGGTTTTGGTCATACATGTGATTGGGTATGTTAGATTGAGACTGGGTGGACGGACCTGGGTATACTGTGTATACTGTGTTTACTTGGTATGCAATGCACCTGAGGAAGACTGAATGGAATTGGTCGAAATTCGTTGTGCTAGTCTTTTATTGTAATAAAAAGTTATTTTATACTTTTTACTGGGTTCCTGACATTTTATCCAGAAGAATATCGCTAACTTTCTGGGGGACCTGCAACACTTTCAACACCTACAGTGGATGCTCCTACATGCTGCCATAGTTTAGAGCTGACTTATATGTTTCTAAATATTGTGAGTTTTCTAATTAACTCCTTCTTTTCCTGTTGGTTCATTTTCATACTACCCTATGATGGTTCTTATCATCCATTATCTATATCTACAATATACCATTGTGTGCACAACTGCCCTTTTTTCCATTGATTAAGTGATGTTATGTTGGTATCATGTTATTTATATATGTTATTTGCCTTTTATACGTAATGGAAGGATACGGAAGTAAGGGCGGGGCATAGGGCAATGACCCAAAAGTTTCTATGTTGTTATTATTTATATATTTAATAAAGCTGTGGACAATTTTACCCATATACCCTAGTGACCGTGTTTTATTGGGGTAGGTATGTGAGGGGTTTGTTCATGATTCTGGATGCCCATATGACGATGATACACCGGTCACGTAGCCCCATGTAACAAAAGCACAGCTTAGTGGAAAGGGGCCTTCACAGGGGCTAGGAGGCGGGCATTGGAGGAAGCTAATGGGATTGGTTAATAGAGGGTTAAGGAGCTGGGCTATATAAATAGGCAGACATCTTAGCAAAATCACTTTTAACTTTCCTACCTGGCTGAGTTTGTCCCACCCTCCCTCCCTGGGTTTTTTGGCCATAGTGGGGTTCCCGTTTTGTCACAGCAATGGGATGGGGAGCTCTAGGAGAGGAAATAGGCTCCCCAGTAGGAAGGTTATGTAGATGGTTATTGGTATGTTTGGTAGGTTTCGAGTCCTGTCGGTGGCTCAAAACCTGGTGGGGTAGGGGTATCCAGGTATACCCCCTACCATGGTTAAATTATAATAAATGGTTGGCACTTTAAGTGATGTTATGTTGGTATAATGTTATATATATATATATATATGTTATTTATAAGGAGGTCATTGCCTTTTATACCTAACGGAAGGATACGGAAGTAAGGGCGGGGCATAGGGCAATTACCCAAAAGTTTCTATGTTAAGTTATTATTATTTATATATTTAATAAAGCTGTGGACAATTTTACCCAAATACCCTAGTGTCCGTGTTTTATTGGGGTAGGTATGTGGGGGTTTTGTCCAAGGTTCCGAATGCCCATATGGCGACGATACACCGGTCATGAATCAATGACCCAGGAATCCCCCATTGTAGCACAGGCACAGCAAGGGTAATCACACAGGATCACTGCTGCTCTATCTCACTCCTGCTTGGAAGCTCAGTTGCTACTTAAATATGAACAAAATTAACATTTAGTGGCTGTCCGCTAACCATTAAACACATGATTGTGCTTGTGCAGATGGACTCTTGTCCTTCATGGGAAACTATTCTGTTTATTTTGCCCCAACCAAAAAAAACAAAAAACAAAAGCAACAGAAGAAGCACACCAAATTATGAATGACAACGGGTATGTCCGGGCTCCCACAACTCAGTTCCCCCTAAGATACATGCGATTGTCGGAAATTATACATTCTTTTGATCTTCCCAATTTGAGATGATTTTGATCCAAAGCAAATATCAAAATCTAGTTATTAACCTAATACATACATACAATCACACATTCTGCATTTCTTTGTATCGTTACATCATTCATATATTCATTGCACAAAAAAGTTGGTTATGCAGTTCATCAGACAGGACATAAGCTGTTGATTAGTTACAATACCTTGCTTCCTCCATACTGATCTACCTCATCACCAAAACCCGGGGTTTGCCTGCCGAACAGGAGAACAAAGATCTTTACTTTGAAAAAAACAGTGATTCCCTGCACTCATCATGGAAATTGAAAGTGTGACTTTAAAGGGACACTATAGTCACCTGAACAACTTCAGCTTAAAGGACCACTATAGTTTAAGCTGGCACTATAGTGCCCTGAGGGTGCCCCCACCCTCAGGGACCCCCTCCCGCCCAGCTCTGGAAGGGGGAAAGGGGTTAAAACGTACCTTTTTCCAGCGCTGGGCGGAGAGCTCTCCTCCTCCGATCCTCCTTCTCTCCTCCCCGTCGGCTGAATGCACGGCGCAAGCTTCTTGTACGCATTCAGCCGGTCTATAGGAAAGCATTCATAATGCTTTCCTATAGTGCGTGCTCTCACTGTGAAAATCACAGTGAGAAACGCAAGCACCTCTAGTGGCTGTCAATGAGACAGCCACTAGAGGATTAGGGGGAAGGCTTAACCCATTCATAAACATAGCAGTTTCTCTGAAACTGCTATGTTTATAAAAAAATGGGTTAACCCTAGCTGGACCTGGCACCCAGACCACTTCATCAAGCTGAAGTGGCCTGGGTGCCTAGAGTGGTCCTTTAATGAGGTTGTTCAGGTGAGAACTATAGCTCCCTGCAGCCTTTCTCATGTAAACACCAGATGGACTTCCAAGCAGGGCCGGACTGGGGATACGAAGCAGCCCTGGAAAAAAATCTATGCCAGCCCCATAGCCAGTCATTGTGCTATGTAGGGTGTTTATATATATATATATATATAGAAATATATATATATATATATATATATAGGCAATTGAAATAGTTGGCTGCACTCTCGGATTTCCTGAAAATTTAACTTTTATTGAAATATTTAAGAGAAGATCAATGTTTCAGTCCCTCTTGTGGACTTTCGTCATGATCCTGATGCAAGTCCACAAGAGGGACTGAAACGTTGATCTTCTCTTAAATATTTCAATAAAAGTCAAATTTTAAGGAAATCCGAGAGTGCAGCCAACTATTTCAATTGCCTATATATATACTGGAGCCCTGGTGATGCAACAGTATATATATATATATATATATATATATTTTTTTTTTTTTTTTTATTGATACATTTCTTCTTCTAATTCAAAATATTAGTTATTTTAGGGTAATTAAATTATACAGTAAAGCATACTCACACACAGACAAACAATCTTACTGATGCACACAAATAGGCTCATTGACAGACAATGACACACACAGACAAGGTTACTGGCGCACACACAAATTTAGTACAGACAAACTCTGATACACACACACAAGCTTACTATAGACAAGCTCACTGATGCACACACACTCTCCCTACAGACAAGCCCATTGACACACATGCTCCCTACAGAAGAGCTCACTAACACACAGATTCACTACAGACAAGCTCACTGACACACACATGCTCACTACAGACAAGCTCACTGACACACATATGGTCACTACAGGCAAGCTCACGATCACACTCATGCTTACTACAGACAAGCTCACTGTACACACATGCTCACCACAGACAGGCTCCGACCCACCCATGCTCCTTACAGACAAGCTCACTAACACACACACACATATGATCCCTACAGACAAGCTCACTGACACACATACAAGCTCACTCACACACACACACACACACACACACACACAGAGGCTCCCTCGCTAGCAGATGCGCGAACACACACACAGAGGTAGACAGTCACTGACACCCAGGCAGACAGCCACACACACACACACAGGCAGACAGTCACTGACATCGAGGCAAACACCCACATATACAAAGACAGGCAGACAGCCACACACATACACAGGGAGGCAGCCACACACTCACACACACACACAGGCAGACAGTCACACACACCCGCAGACAGTCACACACAGGCAGATAGTCATGCACACACACTGGCAGACAGTCACACACACACAGACAGTCACACACTCACAGTCACACACTCACAGACAGTCACACACAGTCACACACTCAGTCAGACAGTCACACACAGTCACACACTCACACAGACAGTCACACACTAATACAGACAGTCACACACTAACACAGACAGTCACACACTCACAGGCAGTCACACACAGGCAGTCACACACTCACACAGACAGTCCACGCAGACAGTCACACACAGACAGTCACACGCCGCAGACGGTCACACCTCACACAGACAGTCAAACACAGACAGTGCTTACACTCCACTGAACAGTCGCACAGGGTGGTCCACACTCACACAGACAGTCCACGCACAGACAGTCACACACAGACAGTCACACAGTCACACACTCATTCAGACAGTCACAGACAGTCACGCACTCACACAGACAGTCACACAATCACACAGACACACACTCACACGGACGGTCACTCACACACACAGTCACACTAGCACACCGAACAGTCCGCACACTCACGCAGACAGTCACACACTCACAGTCACACACAGATGGTCACACACTCCACACAGACGGTCACCGCGAACGGTCACACACAGACAGTCATATACAGACAGTCACACACTCACACAGGCAGTCACACACACACTCACAGGCAGTCACACAGGAGACAGTCCCGCACACTCCTGAGGCAGTCACACACAGACAGTCACACACTCCACACAGACAGTCACACACTCACACAGACAGTCACACACTCACACAGGCAGTCACACACTCTGGGCCAGTGCAGAGACAGTCACACACTCACAGGCAGTCACACAGAGACAGTCACACACTCACACAGAGACAGTCACACACTCACACACTCACACAGACAGTCACACACTCACAGGCAGTCACACACTCACAGGCAGTCACACACTCGCACAGAGACAGTCACACACTCACAGGCAGTCACACAGAGACAGTCACACACTCACAGGCAGTCACACACAGACAGTCACACACTCACACAGACTGTCACACACAGACAGTCACACACAGGCAGTCACACACAGACAGTCACACACTCACACAGACAGTCACACACTCATACAGACTGTCACACACTCACACAGACAGTCACACACAGACACACTGACCTGCTTCTTACCTCCTGCTTGGAGCTCCTGGAGGCTGGTTGTTGGGGAAGCAGGGACTCCTTCCTGCTTCCCATTCTGCAGTCAGCCAGGCCCCCGCTGCACAGTAAGCTCCGCCCCTGCCGCACGCTAAGCCCTGCCCTGCTAGCCCCGCCCCCACCGCACGTAAGCTCCGCTCCCGCAGCAATTTTTTTAATTTTTTTTAAAACGATGTGTGAGCTGTGCCGGCCGCCTGGCTCCCCCTGCTCCCATGGAGCTCTGTGCGGCCGCACACCTTGTA